TTGAAAAAAATAATTTAATTACACATTACCATATCGTTAAACAAATTCAAATAAAGGACGCTCATCTTAGTAAATTTATTAAAAAAAATAAAAACATTAATAAAAATTAATTAAAAGCAAAATAAATAAAAATTATTCGAGAATGTACAATTGCAAATAATCGTATAGGACAACAGAGAGCAACGAATAATAATTATGTTAAAATATCGTATTACTTGATATAAAATTATAATATCGTATCACTCAATATAAAATTATAATAAAGTATCACTCGATAAAAATTGTACTCGTATCAATCAAAAATTGCAATCGTACCAGCTGGCATAAAACTGTATTAAAACATCGTATCGTTCTCTAAAAAATTTTACTAAAATGTCACTAAAAAAAAATCAGATGAAACAAATAAAATTCAACTTTTTTATTTAACAAAATATATAAAATTTCCAAATCATCCCACAAAAAAATGAATGACAATAAAATAGAATAGCCGAAAAATATTACCCGTGTCGCAAATAAAATGCATAATCAGGAAAAACACCATAAGGGGTACAAAAACTTCTTACCTAATAAAGTGCAGTGATACGAACAAATGGTAATGATTATTTAAATTACTGATAATAATAACGTGGGAAGTATTATCTAATCCAATCACGTAAACGGCAAAAATATGCGTGCACATGTAATCTTGCGTATACATATTTACTATGATGAGGTCAAATAACGAATTACCGCAAACTGTGAACGCATCTTCACGATAATAGTTAATGTATCCGTTGGCCATTTATTGTGCAATATACTCAGATATTATATGCAAGGTGTCTCAATTTTTTTCAGGTATTATATGCAAGGTGTCTCAAACTTTACCTCGTACAAAAATTAGAAAATTATATTAATGTAGAGTTTAACGCTCACCGACGTATAGTGTATAGTTAATTTGAAATTGAAGACGAAGTTCAAAATTAAATAAACATCCGAGTAAATATAAAAACACGTACATATTAATTCTTTAACTTGATGAAATTCAAGATTCACAGATTTCAAGAAGAATATTTTAATAAAGTGTGAGACATAGTTTAAAACTTGTGGAGAGGTCATGTGACGTTTTGGTAGTCTTAGTATTAAAAAATAATTGTTTGATATTTTTCTACACGCAAATTGCATTAGGGTAATTTTTCTGATTATCGACTTTTTATTCACTTTTTTACTGATATATTCCAAGATGATTAATACAGTATCTTAAACATTTTAGTAAAAAGTTATAGCTATATATAGGGTGTTTCAATTTCGTACGTAAATCTTTACCAGCATATTCTACGAATAAAAACGATACAAAATTCTATATGAACAGCTCTTAGATATTTTATCGAAAGATTGTAAGAAATTTAAAAAATAATGGATTTTCTTCAACGAATAATTATTGACTTTCGTATTTTCTTAATAACTTTTAATAACGCATTCGAAAAGTGTTCTTATAAAAAAATTTCATGGTACTTTTATTTGTATATGTTAGTAAAGTTACGTGGACAAGAACACCCTATAAATCGAACGACAGAATCCATTTTTTATTTTGTATTTATGTTACGTTATAATTTTTTAAGAAATAATTAATAATCTTTTAATACATTTATTAAAATTTTTAGTAAAATTAATTTGTTACAATTTTTTAAACTCCATGTAGGTATAATACTATTTATTTTATTAACACTAAAACTACCAAACCGGTTAAATGACCACTCCACAAGTTTCTTATTATAAGGTACACGTTTTGTTAAAATACATTCCTTGATATCAGAATTGATTTTCATCAAGATAAAGAATAAATGTGTGTACTAATTTAAGTTTGTCGTTTGTTTAATTATTTTTTAACTTCATTTTTAATTTCAAATTAAATACACATTATATGCCGGTAGGTTTAGTTCTTCTCTTTAAAGAAGGATGTTGTCTGGCGGAAAAAAAGTGGAACACCCTGCATATGTCATTGAAAATATGAACGATTTGCTTAAATAAACGTGCCGACGAAGCACGTGTATATTATGATAATTCGATGATGCAACTTTTTTGAAAATTACTATCACGCAGAGAGCTCACGCAGTACAATTTTATCCGGAACGATCGCGATACTCGAACTACGAAGTTACCGATTTGCATTCGTGAGACAATGAGGAAATATCGAGTGGATTTTAATCAGATTCGACGTGGAAAATGAAACATTTATATTTTTTTAATGCTGAGACTTTGGAATTTTGGCATTTTTCATTTTTGAATGGGACTCTGGAATTTTTTCATTTTTTAATAGTGGAACTTTGGAATTTTTGGGGTTTTTAATAGTAGAACTGTGGAACCGCGACATTTTTAATATTTAATCATTGGATCCTGAAACTTGGACATTTTTAAGTTTTTCAATATTCAGACTTTGGAAGTTAAAAATTTACGACTTTCAAAATAAAGAAATTTGACCATTAGATAACTTAAAAATTTGAAAATTTATGAATTTAGAGGTAAAAAATGTGGAAATTAGAAAACGTGATAAGTTAAAGATGGAAATAAAAATGAAGCCAAACTTTAAAAATTTTAGAATTTGACAATTAGAGCACTGAAAAATTTAGAAATTTATAAAGTTAAGAATCTAAGAAATTAAAAAATTGAGAAACCTCAAAAATTCACTGAAGGCTATTAATAATAGAACAATCAAAACAACCGAGTGAAAAAGATTCTTTTCAAAACTTACTACCATTACCTCCGGAAATTTGATAATAAATTCGAAACGAAAACACTGAACTAGAGTATAATATACTAACAATGCAGCACGTAATCAGCAAACTGCAAATGATAGCAAAGACAGAAAAAAATCAATGATAAGCATTATCACTGTTGACCGGCTGACTTTATCCATCTGTAGAGTCAGTTTATGACCGTATCTTCGAGAGTAATACTATATTGACCATCAGCCTCTATATAAACTGCATATGTGAATTAGAACGTTAGTTAAAACGACTCATAAACCATAACTTAAACTCCGCTGCGCTTATATCATCGAAACAAGACTCTCGTAAGTTGTTAAATTCAAACTCTTTGTACTATAATTCTGTCACAAAGTTCAAAATAAATATTCAGTTTTTTTAAACTGACAGGAACATACCTCACATTTTCACAATATTCTGTTACATAATTTGAAGAGGGTAATATGAGACAGCTTTATGACGCAGTTTTTAAAACTAGGAATGTTTTTCACAATTAACCGTGCATTTTACCATTGGCTTTCAAATCGATTAAACATCTCAATCACATATTTGTGAAATACGTTGCAGGAAGTTTTTAAAGTGGTTTAATTAAATTACAGATACCTTAAAGATGAGTGTATAATCATTTCCATAGATGCTATAGTGCATGCAACGGAGTTTGACTTACTAATACATCATTAAATAACGAAGATTCAACCTTGAAGCTACTAGATAGTTATAACGTTATTGTTCAAAATATGGCACCCTGGAAATTGCTATTACGAAACGGGTCTTGGTGAACAGAGTTAATCTGAAACTTATTTTCCCTGTTTTTCACAAATTGAGAACGTGAAATCTATTTCTTCGGCATCGCACTCTTCGTGAATCCATCGACCTTTATACACTTAACGGTTAAATTAATTTTATACACTCAAGGGTGAAATGTATTAAGTATTATCGGTGGGCTCACGCAAGCTACGATGCAGAAACAGATCTCGTATGTTCAATTTATGACAGAATATAGAAAAAGTAAGTTTCAGATGTAAACTGGGTCTTATATCCATTCTTTCTACGTTTGCATAATTTTCATTTGTATTTGATCATTGAAAATGTATGAAAAGTGTATTTTGCTATGTTTCCAAAGTAGCGTAACTAAAAAATTAAATATGAAAAAATAAGGTATATAATAAAATTTCATATGCATCGTTATTTTCTAAAAAACTGTCAAATATTTTAAAGTATTTACGAAAACGTTTGTTCATGAGAAACACAAGTTAAATGTACCAAATCTCAATCGAGAATTATGTGTTTCATAGAAATGAAGGCTGTTAGACTTCAGCTTATCTGTGATCGCAAGTATTTAACACTCGAGTATTTTTAATTAGATAAGTAGGAGAATTCAAGCGTCGTTCACATATGATTGACGTGGTATTCGACGCGTTAAGACATCGGGGACAACGGTGTCACATAAGAATTGAAATTATGCAATTCCTGAACGCAATTACGTCGTAAACAATAAGCAGAAGAGATGACTAATAGAACGTGTGGCATTGTTTATAAATAGTTTCCGAACACCTATGGTTTTGTGTGATCGCGAGCGATATGAGGAAGATTACTCGACGTTCGCAAACATGATGCTAATTTCTCGTTAAAATTTATTGCAAGTTCGAAGAGAAAACAGTAGAAATTTATGTTTAATTTGATTGTCTTTGCGCGAGATTTACAGTGATTTCACGGGAACGTTTCAAAGTTGTCTTACGAAATTTTACAGCGTTTGTTTTTTCTTTTCTAAATGGAATTGTGTATTTTTTCTTCTTGCGCGCGTAGATTCTTTGAAATATTCTGCGAGAAAATGTGTCTGTATTGTGAAAAGTGTTTCTTTTGTAATAATATTAATGTAGATTCAAAGTGTTTTTAAATAATTGTTAAACATTTCTGTAAAAATGGTAGAAAGTAATAATAATATATTTATTTAGATATCAATCAATTGAAACATTTTAAATCCTGACGTAAAATATTTAAAACGGAAGTCTAAACTATCTGTACATAGTCCCACTCTTTCACAGAATATTTAAAACTCTATCTATGCAAGAAATATATATTCAACAATTCCATAAAAGAAAAGAAAAAAAAATTGTAAACTTCCACCTAGACGAAAAAGGTGAAATTCAATAATCCCAATATTAAATCATTATTTCATAGAAAAAGAATAAAAATCCTGGATCTCACCAAAAAATAAAAAGCAAAGATCGCAAAATAACGTAAAAAATATTGTTGCAGGTAAATCATAATGTCACCGTCGGTCGAGCCGTTTCCAGTTCAAAACTTAAACGAGCTTCTAGCTGAAAGTCTGGGCAAAGATATACAAGTGAAGCAGTTAGAATGGAGGCCGCTAACTGCTCCAGGGGAGAACTTTGGAAGCGTAATGTTGGCCATCAACGTCACAGTGACTCGTCTGAACAGGACGGACACTTTGCATCTAGTTGGCAAACTACCGCCCACATCGGCCTATCTGTTGGACCTATTTAACAGTCCTGTAACATTTAAGAAGGAGCTACTATTCTACAGTTCAATGGCGAAAGAGTTCACGAAACTTCAACTGGAAAGCGGCATAAACGAGAAGGATGTAAGCGACCTGGCTCCCAAATACTTTGGCGGAAGATTAGGTCTGAAAGACCCGGAGGTATTCGATCATCAAGCGGTTATCGTCCTGGAAAATCTCAAATACAACGGCTACAACACGGAGGACCGTATCTGGGGGTTGGACAAAATCCACACGGAGTTTGCTCTGGACGGTCTGGCCAGGTTACACGCGCTCACCATAGCCCTGAAGCTCAAGAAGCCTCAGTTATTCCAGCGAATGGTATCCGAGGTGTTGACCGAGGTGCTGAACGACACCACTGAGAAATGTGTGATCGACATGATCAGAAAAGCTCAGGCTGACATCAACAACATCGCGGAGATGAAACCGTACATGGACCGTGTGAACAAAACCATAGAGCATGGCATCCAAGCGAACAAGAACGCTGGACAAGCCGAAGAGCCGTGGGCAACCTTGGTCCACAATGACTTCTGGGTGAACAACATGATGTTCCGACACGATCAACGCGGACAGTTGATCGATATGAAGATCGTGGACTTCCAGTTGTGCGTGTACGATTATGGGGTCAATGACCTGATCTTCTTCTTGGTGTCCAGCGCGAACAAAGACATACTGGATAATAAACTGGACGATATGATCGATATGTATTACTTCCGTTTCGTAGAGTTCTTGAAGACTCTAAAAGTGGACACAGACAGATTCACCAAACAGAAATTCGACCAGATCGTGAATCATTGTGCGACGCTCAAGTTCAATCAGTGCATGATGATGGCACAAGTCATCCAAGCTCCTCGGGCGTCCACGCCGGAGATCAAGGAAGTCAAAGGGGATGATATATTCCTGAATCGGGTAGGGGATGATGTGTACAAACAGAAGTTGGCGCACATCGTGCAGCTGTTTGATAAAAGGGGATGGTTAGTTAAATAGTTACCTGACGCTGTTAGAGAAATTTTTTATAGATTCACACGCTTGTTTCTTGATTTATGATCTTTTCTAAATGATCAATAATTCATTTACATTATTTATATTCAACTTTACACCATATTAATTGAACATAAGTTTTCCCTTTTTTATTATACAGGCACGCAAAGCTTTATGTGATTTTAATCTTGTTCTGATTTTGGTCATTTTTTTAGAAAGCTCTATTTGGCAGAAAAGTGGAATTTTTATACTGAATATTAATTTAAATTGAAGATAAGTAGATTTAGCAAAATCGTTGCAGTAAATATAAAGTTAAAATTATGTAATTATAAGATCCCGAGACAGATTTCATTAGAAAAAAAAATAAAGGTCAAATACAATAATGAATCTGAAACAAAAGTACAAAATATTTTAAGCAACGTGACGATAAATAAAATTTAAATTTTGTACTTTTTTATATTTTTTAAGTGAATATTAATAATTATTATTATAAATATTATAATTATGCAATATATTATGTACAATAATTTATTATTAATATTCACGTTTATAATATAATAATATATTGTTTATAATTTAATATGTAAAACAAAAATACAAAAAACATATGTAGCATTTCTCCCATAAATCAAGAAATAGGTCATATTTTTATACACGACAAAAAGTACAAAAAAGTTGCAAGAATGTCGAAAATTTATAAGGCAAGTTGAGACAAAATGGTGATTTAGAATAAATTGTTTAGCTGATAGATTTGTAGCCAATTAAAGATTTGTACAGGCCATCTACTTTGAAAATTACATCTACTTTTCCATACTTTCATATACCAAAAGATATGTTAATTTTTGTAAAAATATTGATAAGCGTTAACAGATATTAGAATATCATACTATCGATGGTGATAAATAATCGGATCTTGTTCTGATAAGTGATCAGAATCTAATGAATAAATTCGTTTGTCCTAAACAAACCTACATTTTCAAAATAAATGGCTGATGTAGTGTCAAGGAACCACCAAATATGTACATTCGTAATGTTTAGAATCGAAGCTTTAATAATAATTTTTTGTAAAAGACAAATTTGGTAGTTTTAAATATGCCTGTAACGTATTGTACATTGCACAAAACTATTCTCTTTTTTAAATAAAAGGTTTGTTTTATTTACCGAAAAGAATTGATTCGCGGAATAAAGATACGGGAAGATAAACTGTTTAAAGACCGCAAGAATTACATGCAGATATTTCAGTAATCGTTTGGATTCTTCCACTTGTGGTCAAACGAAATGGAGATGTTAGAATCTTGTTTTGTGTTGCTTTGACGCATATCATGCAACCTGATAATGACACGTATTTTATGTAACGTGACATTGAAACACACTTTAAAGTACTTTTTCACTCTTGATTAATCGAGTGAGCTCTATCGAGACAATAAGTAGTCAATTAACACAACAGTCAGACTTTTAAGACGAAGACTATACAGTCTATGCTCATCGCAACGAGGAAACCTTGAATTATATTTCAACTATTTTGTATGTTAAACGCTTCATTTATGTAACGGTGGAATTTTAACATTCCATTTGAGTAAAAACGCTTAGACGTCAATGAAAGCAATTGAACGGATTAAGTTATTTGTCCACAAAAAGAATTTAAAGAAAAACGCCTGAAAAATGTAGTACATTATTTAATATATTAATTGTAAAATTAATATTAATATTGCGTAAGTTGTAGTATGGGGTTAATAATGAGCGTATACGGAAACACCGAAAGATGAGCGAAACATAATAAATGTTTTGGAGGGCCTCTTAAAAATATGAGATGGGTATTTAACCTAACCCCAAAAGTTAAGTGATATGTAAAACTAAGGAGGAAGTACTTACCTCCAGGAGATCTGCAACCGTGTCCGGTAGATTGAACTCCCTAACAACACGTAATCGCACCTGCCTGTTGATTTCATGACGAGAGGAGAGTGGTAAACTAATAGCCCTCTGACAACTGGGTGACTGCCTTAATTTCTGTTCTCGTTTCAACATAGCTGCCAAAGTCGCTGAATCTGGAACTTAAATAGAACACATGCTAAATAACCCCTTAAAAAACCCCCTTAAATAACCCCTTAGAAAACTTCCTGTATCTCGTTAAAATGTGATAACATGATATAGCAGTCTGACAATAACAATCAAGGTACCTGGAAACGCTGCAGCAAGAACGTCTACGCCTGCTGTACCCATTGGTCTTGGTTTCTCGTCAACCATGTACAAGGCATCGGGAATATCTGCCACATATCGCGGCCTTCGTAATCTTACTAAATCTGCTTCTTGGACCATTTGTTCCTCGACTAAAGACTGCAAAGCAAGCAACGATCGTACATGTTTAATGGTATTTTAAAACAAAGTTCTCAAGGGGAAAGGTCTATTTATTCATATTCATATTTAATCCCCGACTTAGAAATCTCAATTTAAAAGAATAACTAAATAATAATATATTTGTTAATATATACCTTAATTTCTTCGTAATAAGGCATGAATAGGCGCGGCCTCACAAAAAATCCATTTTTCTTTCCTCCCCTTATCCAAGCATTCATGCGTAAATTCTCCCTTTCATCCCCTATCATATGACTCGGTGGAGTTGAAACTAATCCTCTTCTAATAGCCTAAATATTTACAAAACCTTCATGTAAGAACAATTTTTCTTTCGTGTAAGAATAATTTTATATAATCGATCGACAATTTCGTACCTGAGCCAAGGCTTCACTATTAGGCGGTAATATGTGATCCATTCTGACAAGCGGTAAAAGTTCACTAAGTATCTCTCGCAGCTCTATGTCACTTAAATCTCTTTTCTTCAGCCCTTTTCTGGTCACAGAATGTACTGTATGACTGAGCAAATTTGGTTCCCGATCCTCCATTCGGCGCACCAATTCTTGTTCCCCCCACTTGAGTACTGCCTGCAGTATTTCAAGTTCGCTCGCTTGCAAAAAATGGCTTTGCAAAACGTTCGCTAAATGTGCGTGATCCAATTGATGAAGAATAGAAGAAGAGGCGACCGGTTGGAATTCCTCCCTCAAATAATGCAATGCTTGTCTGTGTACCCATGCAGAACCATGAGGCTGACTGCCCCACCTATAGCAAAAATAATCACATATTAACGAAACAAGGAATTACAATATTAACGAGTATGGTAGGTGGTGGAAACCTTACTTTAAAACAGCCGGAAGCGATTCCAATGTAAGGTATTCCAAAATAAGATCTTCACAACCCTGTGACAATATATCTAACTCCAAAAACCGGCCAATTTGGTACAATTCCATTGCTTCTTCTAAGGGACTTGGTCGAACCCGTCCAGTGTGTGTAAGAGCTTGAACCTGAAGACACATGTATCACTTTGAAACAAAAATTTACTTTTTCATTTCTATCAGTTAAACAAGTCCTCACAGCAAATGGATGGATAAAGAAGTTATGTGAATTGTACTTAAATGGAAGTAATTACCTCTCCAAGACTACCAGCGCTGTTCCCGCAACCATTACCTCTCATTATTAACGATAAATCAACGGTATCTAAATACACTGCATGTAATAATACTCTGGCGTATCGTTTGGGTATTACACTCTCGTCCAAAACTATTCTAGTAGGTATATGAAGCGCTCTTTCTGTGTGATCTTCCCCTGATCTAGTCCGTCTTTGTATTAAGTTCCTGAAGAACGGGGATCTCGCAGAAAGTATCGCTTTATGACATGGCAGTTCTAACTTTGGCCGGAATCCGTATTCTGAACTTCCACTATCTGGTCTCTGGTAATCACTGTCCGACGTGAACACTAACGCGGCGTCCGCGTAATCACCGGTATCGAGCAAGTATCTGAGATCGTGTTCCAGCGGATTCGGTGTGCCGAATTCCTCTCCCAGTCGTCGCAAGAGATTCGCCTCCAAAGCTGCATCGTGTGGACAAATATCACCAGTGTAGAGATAACGCAGCAATGCCGAAAACATTTGTACTTCGAGATTCGGTGTTCTCAGTTCCAGACATATCCTAGCACCATACCCTACGATCAAACACACCCTTCAGTCTTTAATGTTTTCTGATTAACAGCGACTCGCGTGTACTTGTCTCAAACAAAGTGAACATTAACCTCATATAAGTAAACCTACGTGGGTCACTGTACACATACGTTTATTTCTTAAATTAAAAGCTATCTTAAATCAAGTTTACATTGGTATAGTTACTGGAATTAATTACTGTTGTATCCAGTCATGTGATTATTCAGTATTTGTAGAACTAATTCATTATAACAGCACCATTTAATCTTATGTAATCAAGTACGTTGACATGATTGAACTATTTAGTATACTAATGTAAATCTGACTGTAGACGATTAATAGAAAACAAAAGTGTACCCGGACAACCAGCTAGTAAGTCCCTGAAGTATGGACAACGCGCAGACAACAGAGCCCTGTGAACGGGAAAGCAGGCTCCACGATAAACGAGGTCCACGTCAGAACAATGTTTGTAATCATACAACTTGGACAAATCTTGTTTGTACGTGGCAGCTGGTGGTCTAGCTAATTCGGCTTGCACATGAAGATCCTTTAACGCAGCCAGCGCCTCGTATTCCTCCAAGAGCGCGGTTGCTTCTAAGTGGCTCCACGTTGAGACCAAATCGCGGATTATCCTGCCGTGGTCGCAGGCCTTCGAAGAACGACGTCTTCGAGTGAATTTCTTCCGTAACGTCGCGAACCCCGTCATTTTCTTCTTCTTTTCCCTGAAAAAGTTCGATAAACGATTTACCATCGATTCAGGTTCTTCGAAACTTTGATAACTTAAATTTCTAGAACATTGAAGTTTTAAAATCTTGAGTCCTTAGAATTTTAGGAACTTTTGAAACTTCGAGTTTGTAAGACTTGAAACTATAAGATTTTGAAATTTGGACACTTTGGAAAATAATGTATGCAAGCAAATAGATGACAAAACATGGTCCTTTTCAAAAATAGGTCTCGGAAACAGGAAAGTTTGGGAACTACTAATCTAGGCTATGTAACAGACGGCGAGTACACAAGATAAGGTGAGATGGTAAATATTGAGATACCTGATAGCAATGCCATGTTGATCAGGAGGATTACCGGAGGATGAGAGTCTAGCAGTTTGGACCGAATCTCCACCTACATTGGTGATGCTTGACGATGCAGAAGCACCCATTCTATGTATCATGTAGGAAGCATCTCCACGCCGTCTTTTCACGAACCAGCAATCCCTTTTATCGGAATTATCTGCCTCCTTTGGTCGTCTACGTTGCAATACACACGGTGTCAAAATTCGGAATACATTCATTGCTCACCCAGACAACACAGCCTGCAATCATTGTGCATCCTTTATACCATCAATACATATATCTAATAAAATTGGTATGTATAACGCGTTTAACGACGCTCAAACTTATTTCAATGATTAAGTAGAATTCAATTATACAATTTCATCGAAATATTATTTTACACAGAAATACAGAAAAACTGGACGTCCAAATTGGGGACCGATAAAAGCCAAAACACACAGTTTTCGTGTTTCAACAAAAAATTAAAGAATTTACATGCATCGATTCTATATTTGCTTGCATGGACAATATTTATTTTACAAAAATAAATTAACCACGTGTATAAACCGGTCAATTTATTTCGCGCCTTTAAGTTTCATTGTTTAAATATCTGTTATGATTTTTTTTCGTAAATATGTTCCACGCGTCGAAAACGATTTACGTAAAAATAAATGAAAGTTACCGATCACATCTTAAACTTTCACTTTATCCAACGTACGATATTTACCTAGAAAGTGTACTGCATTGATTCGGAAGCGCCTTTTAAATGGATACGTTTCAATGCTTGAAACTTTTTTCACCCATTTCCGACGATATTATCGAGGCTTGAAAGGAACAAATTGTTTCAAAGTAATCACATGTTCAATAAAATGTTTATCAGGTTGTTCCAAAATTTCTTTTAGCGCTTTTCAATTGTCTAATCTAAGTAGAAGCTTTTAAGAAGCGCAAATGTTGTGTAAAAAAAATCAAAATTTCTTGCAGACAAGCACATCTAAATGAACACTTTTGCAAAGCTCAAGAACAGAAAAATGATAACAATAATTTATGCCTGATCTCTTTTGAAAGACTTCTTTATCACTGAAGAATTGCAAGAGCAATAGGGTATATTTAATTGTATCGTAAATACTGTTTTTTGATACAACTTGCTATTAAAAAGAATTAATTCTGGACAGCATAGTATTTTTAGCGACAAAAACAGTAAATTGCTATATTGAAATTGCTGTGTACTAAAGTTCAATTAAAAATAAATGTTGATCTGGAATGGAAATAAATGTAAAATAGGTACAAAGAAAATAAAGGCTAGAAATTTTGTTGTAAAAACACATTAATATTTGCTTAATATTTGTTTCAATTTTTCTGGTTAAATATACAATAACGTGTATATATATATATATATTGGTACATGTAACAATGTAAAATAAAAATATGAACTTAAAACTGTTTTTATAGAATACCTATAGAATGTTATAACACTTCAAAACATTTAAACTCATATTTTTCGAACTGTGTCATGATTGTAGCGCATAAGCAATATATAAGAAAAAATGATTGTATTCTGGTTAAGCTTGAACATATTTAACAGGTTAAAAAATTTATTAATAATCTAGTTTAATATTTCTCATGGTGTATTTCTATTACAAATAATATTCAAATATAATTGTACAAATAATAAAATCATAATAAATAGACATAAATTTAAGGGTTTATGTAATTCATAATAAAAATGATTTAGAATAAACATAATCAATGAATAACGGATACATTCTAAGCTCTAGCCGCATAAATATACATCTAGTTTCATAATTGTTCGTAGTTACAGAATAACCGTATGCAGATAATCTGATTTTGTGAAAACTTCAAAAAATCATCTTTCATCCTCTCTCTCTGATTTGAAAGCTGTATAAGTCTGATTTTGATAAAATCGATAATATGATTAATGTAGTTACAAATTCCAATAATAATTTTGTTTATAGAAGATTTATCATTGTTAAGAGAAAAACAATTGCAGTTATTAAAAGGAATTGAGAATATTTATTATGTATATTTGCATGATGAATTTGAATATCTTAGGTAGCAATGCAATAAATACGATATTATAACAATATATATATTTCATTTTATTAAGTAAAGGTATTATTTGTTGATACTTATACATTAACATGTTTGCGAACGAGGCAGAATTTACTAGCCTTGAATGTACCATCACTGATTTCATCCATTTTGAACATGTTGAAATTTTATTACCCGTGTTCGATAATATCATGTGAAAGTGTATGCCTGACACATTTGACTCTTTAAATGTGAAATCATAATGTCTATAATTATTTTAATATTTCCAAATAAACCGAAATGCAAATCATTTAATATCTTGAAATAGATAAAAGTGTACTTATACAACTTTCAAAACAAATGATTTAAACATATATACACTGTATCAAATTTAGAGACTTTTTAAACATCACCATAAATATAAATTTTATTACACTTATAGTTAACAAAAATGTCATCTATATATGATAAACAAATTGCACACCTGTACACAGTAACTTAAAACTGTTTTTATAGAATACCTATAGAATGTTATAACACTTCAAAACATTTAAACTCATATTTTTCGAACTGTGTCATGATTGTAGCGCATAAGCAATATATAAGAAAAAATGATTGTATTCTGGTTAAGCTTGAACATATTTAACAGGTTAAAAAATTTATTAATAATCTAGTTTAATATTTCTCATGGTGTATTTCTATTACAAATAATATTCAAATATAATTGTACAAATAATAAAATCATAATAAATAGACATAAATTTAAGGGTTTATGTAATTCATAATAAAAATGATTTAGAATAAACATAATCAATGAATAACGGATACATTCTAAGCTCTAGCCGCATAAATATACATCTAGTTTCATAATTGTTCGTAGTTACAGAATAACCGTATGCAGATAATCTGATTTTGTGAAAACTTCAAAAAATCATCTTTCATCCTCTCTCTCTGATTTGAAAGCTGTATAAGTCTGATTTTGATAAAATCGATAATATGATTAATGTAGTTACAAATTCCAATAATAATTTTGTTTATAGAAGATTTATCATTGTTAAGAGAAAAACAATTGCAGTTATTAAAAGGAATTGAGAATATTTATTATGTATATTTGCATGATGAATTTGAATATCTTAGGTAGCAATGCAATAAATACGATATTATAACAATATATATATTTCATTTTATTAAGTAAAGGTATTATTTGTTGATACTTATACATTAACATGTTTGCGAACGAGGCAGAATTTACTAGCCTTGAATGTACCATCACTGATTTCATCCATTTTGAACATGTTGAAATTTTATTACCCGTGTTCGATAATATCATGTGAAAGTGTATGCCTGACACATTTGACTCTTTAAATGTGAAATCATAATGTCTATAATTATTTTAATATTTCCAAATAAACCGAAATGCAAATCATTTAATATCTTGAAATAGATAAAAGTGTACTTATACAACTTTCAAAACAAATGATTTAAACATATATACACTGTATCAAATTTAGAGACTTTTTAAACATCACCATAAATATAAATTTTATTACACTTATAGTTAACAAAAATGTCATCTATATATGATAAACAAATTGCACACCTGTACACAGTGACTCTGTTCAATTACAATATAACATATAAGGCCTTCAAAATAAATAAAATGAAAGACAATCATAAATCAATAAAAATTGAACAAATATAAATATACTGTACACATGATGCATAGATACACACAATATTTTTCAGATACATTACTTGCACTGTAAAATGAAACACTTATAAAAAGCACAATCCATTATAATTGCACTACACATTACATCAAAATGCACTAGAAAGCACTAATTCTGCAAAAAACGAAATATCAAAAGAACAGAAATGAGATACAGCATCCAACAAACTCCATTACAAAACAGCTCAGGCAACTACTGACAGCAACACATCAATAGGTCAATAGTAGTCAGCTGAGCTATGATTGTGATCGCGTTACGTGGTTAGCACTGCGTATGACGTAGTCTGGCAAGTTCAGTCACCTTCGCGGTTACACGAAGAAAGAATAGACGAGAATAAAAGAGAAAAAAACGAAACATGTATCTAATAACGAACGTGCAGGTAGGTGCACGATAAAACCAAGATACATGAACGATGGGTAAACGAGCAAGTTGTAATTAGACGAGGCAGGCGTTGAGAAGATCCAGGATGCACCAAGAGTTTCGTTACCTGGATATCTCAGCTATACGCGTTCCATCCATTATTTTCATTCTCTCCGTGCTTTCTCGAATTCAAACTGGCACGAGTAATCATCACAAAGCGCGACGGCCATGTTTATACTCGTCAACTTTAGTCTGCATGTAAATAAAACTTGGTCACGGCACTATGCGTACGATTCGTAACCCGCGTATCCCCATGTCGTCGAAATTTGTGAGAAAAATCTCTACGACGAACCACCGTTTGGACACGTTAAGTAAATAGAACCGTGTATACGAGGACACATAATTACAGTTACAGCAAACCGTCTGGTCGCACGAAAACAAACCCCGACGGTGGTAGACATGCTAACTACTACGGATTGAAGATAAATGAAACGAAAATAACGCAGAACGTTGAAAATAGCGCGTGAAACAGTTTGTTTATGTTCGCGGCACGTTCACTGATAACAGTATCAATTTAATGCATATAAACAGCGTCGAAATTTTTCTAACGCGACAAAACTTGTATATACACTCGTTCCACCAAAGATCATACTCTTTGAACAACAAGTTTTTATTCGGTTTGCGCATGTCACTTCTGATTGGTTCAGATACCCTTGGTACTAAGGATTACGCGCTTGCGCATGTATGATTTCATGGCGCGAAACAAATATACCCTGTGGTTTTCGAAAACTTGATTATAGAAATTTGGAAATGTAGGGACTTGAGAATATGGAAATTTGAATCTTTAGATACCAAAAAAGTCAGAAATTTGAAACCGGAGATTTGAGAGTTTAAAAATTTAAATATTTGACAATTTGGGCAGTTGTAAATTTGGGAAATAGAAAATTTGAGAACTTGAAAATGTGGAAATTCAAAAATTATTAAACTTTACAAAAAGACTATGATTACCAAATACGGTTCATGAGCAATATCACTTAATCAATCCGGATGTACGTCTATTTCGTATATTTTTATCCACCGTGTACATGATCAACTGAGTAAAAGGCGTATAATAGTGGGGAAGCTATTGAAGTTAGCCAAATTGCGCGAATTGAGTATGATCTCCCGTGGAACGAATAATATACATATATTCCCCTCTGATCATGCGCGAATACACACAATTCAAGAGTTCTGTAAACGATCTCATGTTATATAGTCTCAAATGAGGTTAGGTCTACTGATTACTGGTAACAATGACAAAAATTTCTTCGATATCGCTGAACAATGACAAATTGTCTTTCGTTTAAACAAATTCCATGACCAAAACGATTATTATGACCTGTTATCCTGCGTTTCCAAGGAACTAATAATTTCTTTACCCTAAAGGTGGAGCCACAATATGGCGCTCGAAGCGTCATCTGTTTACGGATGCGTCGAGTTGGAACTAAATCTGTTTGGAACTTAAGAATGGATTGGTAAAGCTGGTAGTACACAGGTCGCGATTCAATCGTGTTTGATCGTGTATTAAAAAACGGGAGGGAAAGTGAGAGGTGTTCATGTAATGTAATTTAACTTCGTCGTGAGTATCGAACAGAATTTCGATTTTGGATTGTACTGTGGAGAAAGAAATACTGATCTATAAAATGCAGTAAGTTTGAAATATTTCTTGTTGAATCATCACAAATTCGCGTCTAATAAACGATGTTTTTCTCTATCACGTAGCTGTCAGATTTAGTCTTGCAATAATCATTTGTTAGAAAGTAGATATGTTTTTTTTTCCGATGCTTGTATTTATCGATTTAACGAACGTAATCGTGATCCACAAATACACGCTCATCCACGAATCGAATACATTTTGTTTGCACACAGTTTTGTTTTCGTTTTCAGTGTGTCGTGTGATATTACGTATACGTACAACTGTTAAAGCGTATTGTGGCGGATTTGGCGCGCTTGATTATTTTACAACTTGTAGTCTTTCTAAATATAATTTAACTTTGTCGAACCTTGAAATCTGTATAAACATGAATTGATCTGGGAAAAGGTGAAAATTATTTACTCTAAAATTGACATAATCTGAAAATATTGAATCATTCCTGACGCAATATCGCTATACGTGCTTCAATCGAACAGTTTATGTCTTATCAACCCATTTGTTATTGCCAAATGTTATTGCAAAATTTAAAATTTTTATATAAAATTATTATTTTTTAAAAATATTTTTGTAATAATTTGAAATTAATATTCATAAATATTATAATTAAAAACTTTTTTATAATATTAATTAGTTGATTTTTTGAAATACTAATTTTTCTTGTTCAAAATAAATAAAATTTTACAATGTGCACAATACATGTAATAGGCAATATTTCAGTGTGATGAAATGTGGTGTCGCAACTCACAATTAATGAACTAGATTTCATTCAGAATTGTTGGCTACAATAGCAGAAAAATATTGTTACTTTTAATAGTCTAAGCTTACAAAATAGGTTTTATTCATATACAATACAATTAATTTATTATTAGGTTGTTACTTTCAATGCTTGAAACAACTATTGAGGTATATATATTTTTTTACAGATATGGAGTCATTCCTAGAATTGTTTGATCCAGACAATGGAAAAAACATGAGAAAGGAAAGTTGGAATGACTCGGAAAATGAAGGGAATGGAATGTCGGATTGTGAAAATTCCAGCATTGAAGATGATCAAGAAGAAAGATTACCACCAGAACCTGAACAGGGTAATATTGAATATAAGTTAAAGTTGATAAACCCATCCAGTCAGCGATTTGAACATCTTGTAACTCAAATGAAATGGAGACTTAGGGAAGGACATGGTGAAGCAATCTATCAGATTGGTAAGAAAAATTGCAAACTTATACTATAAAAGCAAAACGTGAATGTTATTTACAATCATATATTTCTGAATCCCTACATTCATGTATACCTAAATCTCTATACCCCTAGATCATTAGGCCCTTACATACTTATATTTCTAGATTTCTGGATGTTTGTATCTCCAGATCCCTACTTTAAGTCATATTAATAAAAATTTGGTTTTCAGGTGTGGAGGACAATGGAAAGTTAACAGGCTTAACAAGAGAAGATATGAAAGCATCTCTAAAAACCTTAAATGATATGGCAGCTAGATTAGGTGCTACAACAAGTATATTACGTGAAAGGCTTGCCAATTCTAAAAATAAAGGTATGCCCACACACAGTAACAACAAAGAGGAAATGCGGGTAGCAGAGGTGCTGGTGAGAAAGTTAAGGAAAGGAGACAGGGAAGATCAGGATAGTATAGTCGATTTAAGACTTGCTGTCACTGGTGCACAGGATGCTGGAAAGTCAACTCTCTTAGGTGAGAGGATTAGCAGAGGACATTTAAGGTAGAGAAATATACTTAGAGTTTACTCTGCTACATTCATTATTTGTCCGGTTCACCTAGTTACAAATAAAATATGAATTTTAATGCGTTCATAATGTACACAGGTGTATTAACCCAAGGTGAATTAGACAATGGTAGAGGAAGAGCGAGACTGAACATGTTGCGTCATCTTCACGAGATAAAAACGGGTAGAACGTCATCGATATCGCACGAAATTATAGGCTTCGACAATGATGGGCACGTCTTGAATTATGCGGAAATGGCAACTGCAGAAGAGATATGTGAACACGCTTCAAAAGTAGTCACATTTATAGACCTAGCCGGGCATCGGAAGTATTTGAGGACAACGGTATTGGGTCTTACAGGTACAAAAATTAGAATTATCTGAACAGATTAGAGAATTAGTCGACATGGTGTTTATGGATCCATCCCTTAGGATATTCACCTCATCACGTGATGCTAGTCGTGGCACCGCCTGTGAATGAAGCTTCGCAGGAACATATGACATTGTGCCTCACTCTAGGTCTCCCGTTCTTCGTAGTTGTAAACAAAATCGACCTGGGTTTTTATAGTATTCCAGAAACAATAAATCAGCTAGAGAATGCTATTAACGCGCAAGGGTATTCTAAACAATTAGTCATGTACAATAACAGTCAAATGACGTGGGATTACGAGTCAAACATAGTGCCAGTTTTTAATGTAAGTTGTGTTACCGGAGAGGGCTTGGAAAATTTGACCAATTTCATCAAGAACTTACCAACGTACGATGTTAATTCTACGGAATCAGATTCCGAATCGTGTCTGTTTCAAATTGATGAAACATTTAGGTATGTTTCTGTACAGATGTACGATCGACTGCTCATACATTTCACACATCCAATGTATTTTGTTTTACAGAGTAGCGGGTTTGAACGAACCTGTTTTAGGAGGATTACTTGTGAAAGGAGCGATTGCTCCAGGTACTCGATTGTTAGTTGGTCCTCTACCAGACGGTGAATTTAGTCCGGTTAAAGTGGTTAGTTTACATCGCAATAAAGCTCCATGTTGCTTAGTGAGAGCCTCACAGAGTGCTAGTCTAACATTAGCACCTCCAACAAACCGAAGTCCCCCATTACCCCATTTACGACCTGGAATGGTTCTAGTGTCAGTGTGGGACCAGCCACATGCAACGCTTTTCTTTCAAGTATGTACTCATATTTCAATATTTCGTATTAAATACATTAACGCTCAATTTTTATTAATTTTTTTAGGCAACTGTGTTAATAGTGTATCATGCAACTGCGATATTCTCTGGTTTTCAAACAACCGTGCACATAGGAAATGTAAGACAAACGTGTATTATTAAAGGAATAATGGACGCTAAAGACAGAGGTCTGCAAACGAACGACACAGCCTCTGTTTTGTTTAGGTTTGTTAATCATCCGGAATACTTGCACGTTGGTATGCGTTTATTGTTACGGGAGGGACGCACTAAAGGGATCGGTAAAATTACGCAAATATTTCCTTTGATAGGGCAACAGAATAATATGCAATAAACCGAATAAACTTTTGTGTGTGAAAAGTATTAAACGTTGCAAATTGTTTACAATAATTGTAACAAAATTCAATTATTTGTCACGTGCCTAGTATAAGCACCTTTTGAAGACTTTCTCTGTATAGTATACAAGAAGACAGTCCTTTCTTTTTGTTTAGCAGGTCTTCAGTGGTATAGGTTTTATAGCTATTTGAATGAAAAACAAAGTCGATCTTTTTGTTGGACTCGTGTATATGTGTATATATACCATAATAGATGTTTAATTTGGTTTTCTATACTTTTGCCATAAAGATTTTTTACCTGAGGAAGTCAGAGGTTAGGTGACCTTGATAGCTTGATGTCTTTCTTTAGTATTAGAAGATATATTGCGGGTTGTTAAGAATTGTAACCCAGTGAACAATATAAAATGAATATAATGTGTGATTGATAATTTTGTTTACGTAAATGATAAAGAGATTTTAAAAAGAACACCTAACCATCCGCTATTGTATCTTCGATTATAACGGTTATGACCACTTTATTTCGTGACACGAAATAAATTATCGTTATAAGAGTTCGACGTTATTGTTTTGCGTATGACGCTGTATGTTAGAAATTCTTCGTGAGAACAATCATTATAATAATGCAATGCTTCTCTATCGCATCGAAATAAATTTATTCTTGAGTTTCTGCTAATGTTGTTTGAAAAAGAGAAAAAAAATACGAAAAAGTAAAGAGTATATTTCAAATTAATGAACGCAAAGTAAATATTTTCGTAGTTATTATTATCATATAATGATAATTATCAAATGCAATATTGTTTAGTTTGTAAGATTTTTCAAAAAGGAAAGATAAATCTATCCGTAAGACGGTTGTATTCGTGAATAACGTAGAATTGTAAACTTTCAACATTATCCAAAGATACATATCGTGTAAAACGTTTGTTAACATTTTGTTAGTGTAAATTATTATACAACCGTCCTCGACGAAAAAAAATATTTCGTTTTATTTATGTCAAATTCAGATTGTAATGCATTATAAACTGTAAAGTACCTTAAATAAAACAAAAGGAAAGAAAAACATTTACATATATTTATTTGTACTGTAACTTTGTCAGTTACCAAGCAAAGCGACTAAGAAAATAATTTACCGTAGTTAACATTTTAATGTTAAGACAGACGCAATGTTTATAATTTAAAAAATAAAATATTTATTTATCACGATTATATAAAATAATTATTCTTATAATAACTTAAATACAGTACTATATACGTATAACTAGATGCAATTAAACGCAATCTTTAAGCACTTAGAGTACTATACAGCATTTAATTCTGTAAAAATACTGTTTTGTCAGGAATACAGATTGGTCGTGAGAATCAATACTGCACGATTATGTTCACACTTCACACGCATCATTCAAAACGATAGGTTGTACCAGGAACATACCTGTGGCATCAATCTCTCATCCATTGTAAAAGAAAGACTGCGTCATTCAACTCTTAGCAAACAGATCTTATTTAGCTCATTTTTATTTGATTACCAGTGGCGTAACTAGGGTCTCGGTTAGGCTTGATTCCTTTAAAGTATCTACCGAATTAAAGTGTAATGTGTAGAGAACATTTGATGAAGCTAGGGAACCTGACTCACATCATATAAAAGTTCTAGTTACACTAATGCTAATCATTCAGACTGATGAACTTTAATGGAAATAAATGCAAGTGTGACGAGAAGCAACGATAAATATTATCAATTAAAAACTGCCTCATTAGCCTCTGGGCCCATTACTAGTCGGGAAATTTGGAGTTGGAGTATTTAGGGTACCCCAGAAAAGTATGAGTCTTGTTGGGTCATGTCTAATGAAGAATATAAACGGTCTGTTCGCTACGAACTTTTTCTGGTTTCCAGCCCGTTCCAGAACCACTGCGGTCGCGGCTGCAGCCTCGGTGCCCTTTTCAGTGATTTCGATCTCCACCTTGTGCAATACGTTAGAGGCATACAGATGAGGATTCACCAGATTGGCGCTATTCCTCAGTTCATCTAACCCGAACGAGCGGTACCCATTTTCGTTCAAATACTCCAAGAAATTCGGGTCAATCGGTCTCTCTCTTCTACTTCTAGACTTTGCTGCTCCTTCCTGGAAACGATACTTGTTCGATTCAAGATTCACGATTTTCGCGTCATTGTTGGGCTTGTTCCCCTCCACAGAGTAAGAGTTCCTGGATTCTAATGGCAGTGTTTTGGAGTGACGAAGATTACGTGTCCTGGTAATGTTAAACCCGTTGTACCATTGCTGCACGGTTAGTCCACGCACTTTATCCTCATATGAAAAGAAACCTCGTTTAACCATATGACCCCTTTTTTCATTGTCTTGCTCGCCCGAACGAGAGAAAACCATCACGTCGTTGTTGTTTCGTTGTTGTATTTCCATCGGAGTTCCTCTTCCTGCGGATACCAGACTCAAATCTGCCATGGAAGGATCGAACAAGGATCTCAGACCCAAAGCGGCGAGGGTTGATTTCAATTGTAGGCTGCTGGTCAACTTCATTTTCGGTAATCCTATTATGCAAGTCTGGAGCGTCATGCTATTAATCAGCTTCTCGATTATGTCTGCTGTTAATTGATTTTTGAAGTCTCGTAAAGCTCTTGCGCCTTCGGCCGTTGGGAGAAGAATGTACATAGAGGTCTATGAGACATCGAAAGGAAAATTTTGTTGGAACATATTGGAAGAATTTTTTCTTTGTTTTGTTATTCAGTCAACTTTACAATTATAATACTAGTATTTAATGGGAAATTAATTCAGTTACTCACTTCGTTTCCTTTGTAGGGAAGAGCCAGAATCTTCACACCCAACTGTTTATCTTCATAGAAAGGAAAATCTCCGCCATTCAACATTAAGTCGACGTCGACCGGTTTATCGGGTTCGATGAAGAACTGTTTCCTAAATAGACAAAAAGTGTAAGTGAAATACCTACGAATACTTTGGCGATATTATTTGTTTCTTTTTTAAGAAATACATTTTTTTCTTCAAGGATAAAGAACGAACCTTCTGGTGGACCTCTCCAAGAAATGTTGGTTCCATTCTCCACTGAAATAAAGCGCTGACAGAAGGATAACACTGGTTTCGGGTCCAGGTACGTCATTCAGAATTGTAGAGATTTTTCCCCGCGTTTTCGCATTTACCCACTGATTTATCGCAATTTGGGCAGCTCTTCCGTTTCTAGCAAAGTCTACATTTATTACTGCGTTCTTGTAAATAGCCTCGCTAAGCAGTTCGAACTGTCGTCGTATAGGATAGCCATCCTAATGATAACATCGTTAAAATACGATTTATTATTTGTCCGTTTTATGTGAAACTATGTTAATTTATATGTATGCTAAAGGGAGATTTTACCTGCACGTACGAGGCGGTGGCGAAATCTATGCGAGGCCCAGGACTTCCTTCTATCCTAGTGAGAAGTTGGTTCAACAATTGGCCAAACATCAGATGAACAATTTCAGACTTCTGCGAAATGTCGACTCCAGATTCCAGTCCAAGTACCTTGGACACTTCGTCGAAGGTTCTGCCAGCAGAACCTGCGAGGACTATCGCCATTGTCACTGCCAGACTGATCGGCGAAAAAATAATATTGTCTTGTTGGCCGGTTATGGTCACACTTTGAGTTTTGTAGATATTAGTTTCCATATCCAGGGTAAACTTGACTAGCCCATTCACGATGATATTGTTCACCTGAAATTATTCAAAACATTCTAATTTTTCTTTCAAAGAAGTCTTCATAACACTAGTTCTCACTAGGCTGAGAAAGCGAAAGTAATTTGCTAATTGAATAAAATAGTGACGGTAATTATTTGAAACAGAAGATTCCTCACCGATTGTAATAATACTAAAATATATTGGCAACACTTTAAATAACCTTTTCCTACATAGGTAATCATTGCTCAATCTTAGCTTTGTAGGTATAGATAAAAACATTTTTTGTACTATACTTATGCTATACAGCAGTAATTATTATAGAAGAAAATTACTGCATGATGAAAATTGATAAGGGACCCTCTATCCTAGATAATCACCAAACGAAGTTAGTCATTATTGTGCAAGAAAGTACATAATCGTTGAATTGTTACTTTAAAATGAACTTCTTTCATTCCTTGATTATTGCACAATACAAGGAAAGGTCAAATGTTTTATTGGACTCAAACTTTTATTTCTAAACAGTGTATGAACTGAACGTTGCAACATACGTGATAAAATAATCTTTTTTCTGCTAGATGCTGTCATTAATGAGTCTGTAAACTTTAAACTTTAAAAGGAAGAATATTATTGCGAATTATATTTGCCATTTTATGTAAAAATCTGTAATATAGTTCCTAATATTATTTATTACAAATTAAATATTTCTTTTGACTAATATTTAAATATTATTTTTGAGTATTCGGTTGTATCAAATTTGTAGTGTCATAGATAAATTCTACCGTGGTCAACGTGTTAATGAACGAAGCAATTATTGACCAACTTTCACTGGATATTCCAACATTTTGGTACTCACATGATCCTTCCATTGTTGTGGCGAGTATTCACGGAGTACTGGAGTTGGTGGAGGTGGTGCAGCTGATGGTGGTGCAGCTGCTGGTAGTGCTGTTGCTGCTCCAAAGGTGAAACCGTGTTGTCTAGGATATTGTCCTTCAGAACTATATGGAAAGACAGTAGGTATATCCTTTTCAAGCGCAATGGTGCTCTCTGAAGGATAATATATTCTATCTACATCGTTGATTCTATCTGTAGGACTATTCCTTGCAATAGGATTCGGAGGAGGTGTCGATCTTCTTGTTAGGTTGACATTATCAGGAGTTATCCATCGGCCATAACTGCAAGCCACCAGGCTCAGCAACGTTAGTGCAGCTATCATTTCTAAAACAATAACAGTAACATTGTTAGTGTATGACATAATTGTTAATTTTATAATATAGTATGTATAATATGTGTAATATGTATATTATGATTATTTGCTACAATACAGTTATGAAATGTATTGCTTCAATTTCGGGAATTTTTGTACTTTTATAAACTCGCTAAAGTAAATAATCTCGACAATTAAATCACGATAATCGTTTTTCCAAACCGGAGAGTCTTTGAACAGAGTTATGATTGACTGTTTGCACATTACGTTTACTTTCGGAAATATTTGTTCACTGTCAGTTTTATCGGTCTGTGTCGTTACACGTCTCATTTAACTTATTAAAAAGGAAGGAAACTCAAGCTATTGATAAAAAATAACCGCTGACGCCACTTTCAGTATTGTTTGTAATTAATCTTTTTCCGGTAAAGATAACCATTATCTGTATTCTATATTATCGTTTCATTGAAACACGTGACCTCATGGAACCTACGATATTTTGCATATGTTACTGCGTTATCACTATACGGGCTACTATCTCTAAACAATGCAATGCCAAACGATTCTTTGAAACAAAATAGTCGGAAATGGATTATGGAAATTGAATGAATCAGGTGATTATTTTTCGAAAGTGGTTTTGTCCGATCACTAGAGTGATTCAACATTGCATTTCTTTGTCGTATACTGACAATGAATATCAATTAATGACAATATACATTTGACCTTCAGAGTTCACCTCCGCTTCCGAGGACATTTGTGCACATGCCTTTTGTAAACTATTTCCTCTTGTAACAGCAGCGCAAATTTTACCTCTGGTTATTACGAGAACAGAGATGTAACATAGCTAAATGTAAACGTGTCTATTATTTACAGTAAATATTTCTCATATAATGTGATACGTCAATTATATTGGTAAAAGTTTAAACTTCGTTCCTTGTGAATTTACTTATGGAAGCAACGGATATGTATTTTGAGAAGCAAGTGTTAATTGATGATACATACTTGTTGAATTAATCATGCAGTGAGGTAACTAGATAGGGAGCAACGCAGGACCACATAATTAAAAATTCTTAACTATAATATAAAACTAATTTAAATGAAATATATAAATCTTTACATGTATAAATTGTTCGTCAAATATATAAATATCTGAACTTCTCTTTTAACTACTATAAACATATATATAAATATTGATCAGTGGCTTTTTATAGCCACTCTTTATTTCCATATTGAATTCTTCGTAAAAAAGTGCTGACCCTATTTTCAGTGTAAAGAAAGTTTCTGGGGATCCCGACTCAGAGTTGCTGCTAATTTTGGTCAAAAAATGCTGACCTAGACCTCCACATTTATCATATTTATCACTTTCTATGCTGTTACGTCGTTTTATACGAACTCATTATCATATCTTATGACGTATTCGTCTATGTTTAAACGTTTGGTGCACCTTAAACAGACATGTGCAGGGACGTATTTATGTCTTAATAAACCCCGTTTTAAAATTCGTAATAGAATAGATAATCTACGCGAAGAAGAGTAACATTTTTTTATACTGGATTTGTTTTCTGAGAAAAGTGAATTTGAAAAGTTTTCAGTATATTTGTAGGAAAATTTACGACAGTAAAACTGATACTACATTTACTTAGTTTAACAAATGGATAGAGGATGTTATAAATTAATGAACATAAAATCCTTATTGTTAATTCGTGTTTATCATATTTTCGATTAGATTCATTATGCTATACGTTAATTTATCAACAAAATCTTAATTGATAATGTACTTCAACAATATTAATGTTAAAATTTATAGAACTATATCTATTAATTATTGAACAAATTATTCAAATTCATTTTTAAACAAATAATTACACAATTATAATTTTTCTGGTTGCAAATAAATTTTCTTACAAATATATTGCAGAATTTTTAAATTCTTCTGAAAAAGCCACATATTAGAGAATGTTATTTCTTTTACCTTAATTTTTGCATATATAATTACCATGTAGCTTGTACGATTTTTGAACGCATTGTATAGCAATGGAGCTCATAACAAAAATTTCAGCTAGGTATTTTTAAAATGAATTTACAATATTATTAGTTAAAATGAACAATTGTTCAAAGGTCCCAGAATTTATAAATTTATAAAAAGTCTAAATTGATTGATTTAAAATGATTAAAAATTTTTTGCACTTGTTAATCTATATTTATAAAAGACCTCAAATTTGCTAATTTAAAGTTACTAAACAGCCTCAAAACTTTATTAATTTAAAATGACTAACAAATTACTAAATTTGTTAATTTAAAACTACTAAAAGAATTCTTACTTTTTATAATTTAAAATTAATAAAAAGTTCAAAACTTTACTAATTTAAATTTACTAACAAATTCAAGAATTGGCTAATTTAAATTTTCTAGGAAGTTAAAAATATGCTAATTTAAAATTACTAAAAGATTCCTAAATTCGATCATTCAAAACTATTCGAATCCCTAAAACTATTGAAATGTATTTTATATTTGCAGATATGTATCATTTCTATTATCTCTTTAATTTGGCCCTAGGTGTCAGCCTTCTCGACAAATCCAGTTCTGATCACGTATACATATATTCACATACCATCGTCGAGTTGATCCTGAACGACATTCGCCAACGTGGGTTTTCCCGCTGATACAAAATTGTCGACTATGATGATTTGATGAAGCGAACAAAACATTTCACGATAACGTAACATCGTTAGCTACTAACAATTTACGTTCGTTGTACATAAATAAGAAGAATACATTAGTGTACACGATTATCCACACTTCTATTGATAATTAACGTTGTTACTTTCACAGATGTTGGTGATTACAATTGATTAGGCATGTTATTACTGTTTTCTCTCATAGTGGAATGTTTAAGAGAGTATTATAAACGAAGATGCCTTTAGTATATTGCTTGAACCATAAAAATACTTAGAATTTTTATATGTAATTAATTAAAATTTGTTAGAATCATTTGTCGAATATATAATTCGATTGTAAGTAATTCATTAAGTATTCGGTTGTAATTTATTCACTTATGAAATACAACTTTCTGGTTTTTAAATTTCAGTCTCATAGTTCATTTTATGATTTTTAGGATATAAAATATGTTTTGTAAATGTTTAAATTTCTAAATTCTCAAATTATGATACTTACGAAAGTAATACAATTTTTAAATTTCTAAATTATTAAATTTCCAAATTAACTTCCCAAATTCCTAATTCTCAAATTTTCAAATTTTCAAATTCACAATTCCGTAAACAAATCCCGAAATTTGCAAGCTTTTACCCAATTTCCGAATCATTATCCCTAAAGTATAAAATCATCAAATCTTTAAATCATCAGTCCCACAATTCCTAAAGTCAAAAATTCTAAGATTTCTAAATCTCTGGTTTTCTCAATTTACTAAATTTTCAAATTCCTACATTTTTAATTCTCAAATCTCTAAATCCCCAAATTTTCAAATGCACAATTTCCATAGTCAAAGTGCAAAATTTCTATATCCCCCAAATCTAAATCCTCAACTATCCAAGTCGAGTTCCTCATCAGTTTCCACATTTTCAAATTCGCGAATAACAAAATTCTCAATTTCCTTATACTGAAATTTTCGACCAAATGTTAACTTATTTTAAAAGCAAGTTTGCAACAAGTCGAAAGGAATTTCTCTTAGACAAGCTCGACGACCCTATAATCTATGCGATTAATCATCAACGCTGTCTACCGATCAATCCTCGAACAGGATTCTCCCGCTCTTCGAGATAGTAAAAAATAAAGACGATTTAGTAAATCCTCGAGGTAAAATTAAACTTATGTATGTAATGACCTTATCTTGTACTGTCATCTTAAGGATGTTAGATCAAAGAATCCTTTAATCGATAAGCTTAAGCAGGACTTTCAATTATTACTCACTGAAAAATAATCTTGCGGAAAATGAGGTTGCACAAGAAATCGTGTAGGCATTTTACGCTCTGGAATAATCATCGATGAACAATGTATATACAAATGGCTCCAAATTATGCTATTAGGTGCGTCACCCTTGAAACGACTTACAATCGTTATTACGTGGTTTCTAGCTGCGAATTATTATGGTCGTTGAGCGAGAACTGGTTACAAGTTTTTGCAAAATTTACGATCGAAATTTACATTCGTGCCGGAGAAATTGGATCTGGTCAGGGAAGTTCATGTGCGAGAATTTATCGGGGAAGTTGGAAAATATTGGAAGAAATTTTAATCAATTTTAATTCTGAAAGTTTTAGTGTTGATGGATAAGATAACTTATTCGCATTACTTTTAATCTTTTCAGATTTGTACGTGAGAGTTGGAAAAAGGAAGTTTCGGTAAAAACGTGACTGGAACTTTTAATTTTTGCATTTTCTTTGTAAAATGTATTGCGATTTTTGATATTTAACTATTTAAACATTTATAAAATATATTTTATATCCTAAGAATTATAAAATGAACTATGGGACTGAAAGTACGAATGAGTAATTAAATTCTGTTAATTACAAATGTATATTTACTTTAGTGTGCAAAATATGAAATGGTTACTTAATGTTATTAATTGTTTTATATTAACCTTATTGTATAAAATATTTAATTAATGTATAAAACTGACTGTTGTATAAAATATTTGACTACTGTATAAAATTAACTGTTATGTAATAGTAACTGTCGTATAAAATGTTTAAATACTGTATAAAGCTAATTACTGTACAAAATATTTAACTATTGTGTAAAACTAACTGTCGAGTCAAATATTTAACTATTGTATAAAACTAACTGTCGAGTCAAATATTTAACTATTGTATAAAACTAACTGTCGTATTAAATATTTAACTATTGTATACAACTAACTATCGTATTAAATATTTAACTACTGTATAAAACAAACTATCGTATCAAATATTTAACTACTAAATAAAATAGTTAACATTGTCAACTAATTATTTAATAAACGTTAACTCTTGTACACAATGTTTAACTAACAGTGTTAACTAATTATTAAACCAAATATTTAGTTAACGTTATTAGTGTAGTGTACCTTAACGTTAAGGTATTTTTCTATTGAACCGCTGCACACTTCTTTTATCACGGGATTGCGCCCACAAAAAAATTCCCATTGTCTTTTTTAATTACATCAATTATATTAATTTCTTCCCAACTCATAAAAAAATACTGTACACTGTAACGAGGCATATGCCTCGTTACAACACTAACTATACAAAACAGACGCGGAAACTTGTAATCACAGATTACGTTTTTATCTGAAATACTTCAAATTTGAAATACAATCTTTTTTTAATTTTGAAAATATTTTACGAAAAAAAGTTCTTTTCAACGATATACGAACAAATGAAAAATAATGTTTAACTGAATAATTAAACTAACAAGTAGCTTAACTACTATAAAAATAAAAATCATGTCAGTATAAAGTTTCAACATAAAGTCTGCATTTAATTTTACATTTTTTTTTCAGTTTCACGTTTCTTGCACTCAAAATTTGCAGCAAAAAAAATACACAGACAATCTGTAATATTAATATTCCTATAGAGTTTTTTATCCTAAATAAAGAAATTAAAGACAAAATAATTAAAAAATACCCTTCTATCACCCTCCACTTTTAAACAGTTAAAAAGTGATCAACATAAACATACTTAAAAATTCAGAGCACGTTTAACTCTTATTTATACATTTCAAAAAAAATTGTAGGTTATAGGTTTCGCATTTTTATAAACTTTAACGCTTTCAACTGAAGAATAATTATTGGCAATTAAATCGACAAGTGGTAGATTACAAACGGACAGAAAATATTAAAAGATTTGAAATATGTTCAATCACCAGGATTGCAACTATCTCCTGTCAAAGTCAAGCTGCAATCGACTACGTTTAAAAAACTTGTATAATTATAATTAACTGTAGTCATGACTTCAAAAGACTTGTTAATTATAACCGTCCACGATTGAAATAATTGGTTAAATCTGCCACAATTCGCGTAGCAACTTGTTTACCTGTTTCGGTGTTCTCGAATCGGCAAATGACGAGCAGGTATTTTCTTTAACTGCGAAGTCCAAGGATCCTTCGTTGCAGCCTGCGCACGAAGATTATAGTTCACGTTGGTTGTTCACAGCATCGTCGAGTAAAAATAGCGAGACACCACGACGATATTCACGGACTGAAACGTTATGAAGCCGGCAAGATCGTGAGTTAGGTTCGAACCGATCAACAGCCACGGCACGACTGACTCGCTATGGCCTCGGTTGTGCTCTGTTGTATTTACCAGATTTCTCTCCTCCACTTCCCCGTGCGACTATAATCCGGGTCGTGGATGAAAGCGATGATACTTATACGGGACGTCTCGAAGAATCTTCTGATCCACTATACTTAGATAAATAAACGATTAATCATTTTGAATCATTCTGGGTAATTCGTGTGTATATTGATACGCGCGTTGACGCAATTACCGGAAGGGGCTACCGGGTAGGGTAGGTCTGATGTAGCAAGATTTCGTAGAATGCGGAAATTAATTTATTTATTAGGGAAGTTGGAAAATTGGAAATTTGATTTCATTGGAAAATGATTTCAATATTTGTTTCAGGTTTATTTGACAACTTATTTTTTTATTTAATGCTTAGGATTACTTCTTAGGTTATTAATGATATTTGACTGTGTCATAAATCTGTAGGATAATTTTATTATTTGCAAATTTAGTCATTTTGAAAAATGGAAAATTAGCAATTTGACGATTTCAATATTTAAGTATTTCAGGTTTATTTGACAATTTATTTTTTTTAATTGAATGCTTAGGATCACGTGCATCTTCTTAGGTTATTAATGATATTTGACTGTGTCATAAATCTGTGGGTATTAAATAGATAATTTTATTATTTGCAAAGTTAGTCATTTTGAAAGGTGGAAAATTAACAATTTGATGATTTCAGTATTTACTTCGGGTTTATTTAACAATTTATTTCTTTTTTTATTGAATGTTTAGGGTCACGTGCGTCTTCTTCGATTCTTAGTGATATTTGATTGGGACTGTGTTGTAAAACTGTAGGTATTAAATTTGATAAACAATTGCAATATTTGCCAATTTAGTAATTTTGGGAAATTCGGAAATTTGAAGAATGATTGTTTTTAAATCTAGAAGTTTTAGACTGTAAATATGGTAAATTTTCTTTTTTTAGATATGGTTCATTTTGTAAGTTGTATATTTGACAATTTTGTAATATAGAAGTTTGTAAACATAAAAATTTTGAAAGTTAGAAATTTTTAAATTTTATTTGGAACTTTGAAAATCTAATATTGACTTTAATTAAAAAATTTCAGATTTTATTCATTTTGCCATTTTTAAGCATAGAAATAAGGTAAGTGAAAAATTTTAGAATTTAGTAATTTTGAAAAATGAACATCTGAAAGTTTCAGAATTTATAAAATTAATAATTCTGTAACAATTTGAAAATTAAAAATTTTGGAGTTTAGTGACTTGAAAATTTGTGCATTTGTTAATTGAATAATTTTTAAGTTAGGAAACCAGAAAGTTTAATAATTTATGAATTCAGAGGTTTGGGTACTTGGAATTTTTTTAACGTGGAAGATAATTAAATAAAGTATTTGATTATCTTCGAAATTTGTACATTCAAAAAGTTGTACTTTTAACAATTTGAAAATTTTTAAATATAGAAGTTTGGAAATCTGAAAATTTACAAAATTGATATATCTAAAATTAAACAATTTCAAAACTATAAAATTTTGGAGTATAATGATTTAAAAATTTGGGCATTTGGTAATTTCGTAATTAGGTCTGGAAATCTAATAATTTGAAGATTTGGTAGCTTTTTAACCTGGAAGTTCGGAAACTTATACATTTTTAATATAAACATATAAAAATTTAAGGATTTAATAATTTCAGTAATTGTGAATTTAGCAATATCGAAAAATTTTTAAATTACCCAAATTGTTAGATTTAATAATTTTTCAATTTGTTTGTTTTCAAACCCACAGCCTTGCAAAACTGATAATTTTAAAAATCATTCGAATATCATCAACACTTTAAACTACTTATATTAAAAAATCCATAAATATGTTATAACAATACTTCTATAACAACTTTTCTAAGTTATATTATTTTTCACCTAAATGTGTTATAACAACTGCACTAAATAATATTATTATAAAATAAAAAAAAATATTAATATTAATTAAAAAAAATATTATTTTTCACCACAACTTACATTGAATAATATTTAATCCTGTCACAGTAATTGAATTATTCGAATATTTACAACAAAGGCTTCAAAACTTCCAATTATTATTAAACTTGATTAACAACGAAACAACAGAACATACACATTTAAGTTTTTGACCAAATATGGTATGACTTTGAAAGAAAATTCTCGATAAATGTTGATGAATGGGTTTTTCAACTTGAAGGGTTTTCGGAATCGTAGATCATTGTTTGACTTTGACAGATGTCGGTTCTTCCGGCGAAGGAACAGCGTTTATTACTTCAAACATTGATTAGACTTTATACTGAGTTGGCAAAAATGCAATTTTTATCATCTTTTAGATGTTCTAACTATAATATATGTGTCACTAATATATTTAAATATATTAGATGTTCGTTTACTCCGTTTTATAATTTTATTTCTTTCTACATATAAAGTTGGCCAAGAAGAAATATTTCATTACAGATTTTATAAAGATTTCTAAAAGTTATATAATATAACAAAATTTAGTATTTTTCACGAAAAAATAGTTAAAAAACAAATGATATGTGTATGTCTCTAAAACTATAACATATTAATTGTTTTTTTAATGTATATGTTACCGGCCAAACCCGATTTTAGGCCAAACTAGTTTTGCCTAGACTAAGCTAGTTCATCCTATACGCGATAGTATAGGATGAACTGGTTTGACCTAGGAAAAACTAGTTTATCTTAAAATATGAACTGGTTTGGCCTAGGAAAAACTAGATTATCCTAAAATATGAACTGGTTTAGCTTAGGAAAAACTAGTTTATCCTAAAATCGGGTTTTGCCGGTAACATATACAAAAAATTATTATATATCTATGCTTGTTTGCCTACAGTCTAGAACATGATCATTCATTAATATTTTCAACAAAAAATTTCGCAAACCGAAACTGAAACTTGCAATTAGTGCATCCTTGCTGTACACATGTCTTCGACTTTGAACAATGTTTTTACTTTCACGAAAATAATGTAGTATATTACCAAACTCAGTCTTTGATTTACAATCTTATGATTAGTAATAAATTAATTATTATTGTAAAATATGAAAGTTTCATAAGGGAAGAGTAAAATTTAAAATAAAATTATAAATTGAAGTTATTATAAAAGTGAGAGAACTTTGATTAAATTAAACTTTATAAATAGAATATGATTTTATCAACCCTATTAATTTATTGTATATTATGATTATAAATGAATTAATGTTACTACAAAAGTGATGTATTAATTTCATTTCATTACAATTTTGCGAGGTCAAAATAATATTTTAAATGTGTAAAAAAAATAATAATTCTACAGCTAAAGTATGAGTCTAACAATTCTATTAATTTACTGCATATTATTATTAGTAAAAAATTATTATAAAAGCAGTATATTAATTTTGTTTCATTAAAAGAGGAGAGTAAAATAAAATTTTAAATATCTAAAAGAATAATAATTCCATGTATAAGGTATGATTTTAACAACTTTGTTACTTCATTTATAGTCTTTTCCTGCACTAAAATGTAAATGTCAAGATCAAGTAAGAATTCGTTGATGAAAAAAATATGCTGACACATAAATTGAATAAACGTCATCAACTAATAAAAGCGACATAACTTTCTAGCAAATTCAATGACGTTCGACGCCATTTTGAACGCATGAAAAACTCCATTATACACTGTTCTAATTTTAGTAAAATTTCTCACAATTTTTCTATAAATACTCTCATCTACATTTAAAAAAAAAAATTTCTTTTCTAGAAAAGCAGTTTCCTCAAGGGTTGAAAAATTGATTTAGATAAGATCTCCATGACCCTAACGATGAAAGGAATATGAACTAAAATGATTTATAAAAGCGTATAACATTGTATACAATTACAACCTGTATCTCAACAGATTGTCTTTCGAAGATTAATCGCCGATCTGATAAGCAATGAAATATTCAACATCTTGTGGGAGCTAATAATAAACGTTCAAACCCTTAGGCGAACGAATTGAAATAGCATTAATTTTTGTCTTTATTTTTATTAACGGTGATTCGTATTCTTTAAATGATTAAAAGAGGAAATGCAACAAGGAAAGTGACGGGTTTTTCCGAAGGGGTACTTTATAGGGGAAGGGTCAGCGATATAATTACGTATGGGAGTAACGAATTGACGCGATTTTAATTCGTATTATTTTAGAATTTGTTAAATACGAAGTTTGAATGCAGAGCTGTTAATTGCTTGATTAAAGGCTTTATCGAAACAAACATATGTTATGTACACATGATCTTTTGACCGTGGAAAATGATTCATCAGACACGTGTTAGGTTAACAATCATTCACTCTTTTAATTGGTTATCAATTGATTTATTTGTACTTTGCATTATCGTGATTGCTCTTGATTAAATTAATTATTAATTAATTAACCAAATAAAGAATGATTCTTTGATTAGGGTGGGCCAGACGGATTTTGGGTTTTTATTTAACAGTTTCGCGATTTGGAAATGTGGGAAATTGTAAAATTGATCAAGTTGGAAATTCGAGAATTTGGAAATTGCTCAGTTTGGACATTTAGAGGACTTTAGAATATGGGAATTTGGAGATTTGAAAAATTGGAAAGACGGGAAATTTGAAAGTTTAATGATTTAAAAATTTGGATATTTAGGAATTTAGGACTTTGGGAATATGGTCTTAAAGATTCGAGACTTTGAGAACTTTAAAATTTAAAAATTTCGACATTTAAGTATTTAGGGATTTGGGAATGTGGAAATTTGGAAATTTAAAAATTTAGTGAGTTGTAAACTTGGATATTTAGAGGTTTAGGACCTTGCAGATTTGGGGATATGGTAATTTGGCAATTTGGTAATTTCGTAATTTGGTAATTTGGTAGTTTGGTGATTTGGTGATTTGGTAATTTGATCATTTTAAAATTTAAGGAATTAGGGGGATGGAAATTTATAGATTTAAAATTTTGGATAATTAGGAATTTGGAAATTTGAGAATTTGGTAATTTGAAAACTTGAAAATTTGGAAATTTGGAAATTTGAAAATTTAAGAATTTCTTCTTAAGTAATTTATTACAAAGAATTTATTCTTACCCTGATTTGAATATTTCTGAGTTCAGAAATGACATGATTGGGAAATTTTGAGTATTAACGGATTTAAGT